GTACAGGGAACAACATAATTGAAATTGAAACCGTTCGAAATGTCCTAACCAATCAAAATCGGATATTGCATAATAGGCGCAATATTCATTCGATAGTCAAATGGTTACCAACTTCCAATTCGAGCATACCGTCATGCTTAGGACCACGTGGGGAACATTTTAGAACATAATGGGCCGCCACAAGATAGCCCACGCACCGCCACCCGCTGACGACAGCGGTGGGTGTCTTGAGAAATTTTCGGCGATGGAAAATCTCCAAATTGCCGGTCAAGCCTTATATCAACACATTCATACTAACAAGGGGAGCAAGCTTTGTTCTCGGACCCTGGCCAAAAAGTGGCCAGAACTAGGTGAATTGTGGCCAAAACCGTCAGCCCTATATGGATGTTTTGGTTGTCTTTTAAAACTCCAAAATTGATCCAAACCACCTACATAAAGATTAGAGCACGAAAAAAGGATGAAAAACCATACCTAACTTGACGGAAACGGTGACCGGAGTCACCGAAAAAGGCTCAAAAGCCACTGGAGCTACTTTTCATTAAATCGGAGAAATCTTTGATGGTTGACGTTGATTAACCACTGGGCTAGGTAGAGGAGGAAGAGAGGAACATTTTTCATGAAGGTGCTGCAACCAACCAGTGCATGGCGGCATCGATTGGTGGCCGAGAAGTCGAACAGTCACTCTGTTATAGTGACTATTGCGAAAGGACCCAGGGGGTACTGTAGCACCCGGTTACTGTAACGTACAATAAAAAAAACTTAAAAATTCCCTTTACATCCTATTTGTTTCTAGATATTTTATCCTTCATTAAAACTCGGAATTGGACATGCCGCCTGTCGACGAACTCGTATCGACGAGCTCTACGGAGCGAGTTAACTGAACAATTTGTTTGGTTAGGGTGTTACAGTAGGCGCTTGCTAAGGAGTGAGTTAACTGAATGCGATCAAACTAAGGAATCTTGTATGAAAGTTCTATTTGCATGTTCAACAAGATTTATTCGGTTGCAATAACGCAAGGTTAATCCTTAGACCTGAGTCACCATGGTTGCCTTATGGATGAATAGTCGGTCTTTGATTGTGACACCCTAAAAAAATCTAGAATATTTTTACGCACACAATAAAAATTGCACAGTCCATTTTGGGGTAAGTGGCATTTTTTTGCCAAGTAAATATTACCATTACGTTTGAGAATGACTTCATTCCAAAAATATGAAGTTAGAATTTTGGTGTTTTAACTTCATAGAAAACAATAGACGTCGATACAAGCTTGTGATATTTCTTGGAGCTCGAACGTATTTTTATTGAGTTTTTGAAGTTGGAAAATAGGAAAAGAAAATAGATTTGACACATGACATTTTCTGATTGGTTTGAACACATCACCATGCCACATGTCAACACCTGATTGGTTAGACGGAAAGGAAAACTTTGACTTAGACTACTATTTGTAGGTTGACTAGGGTGTAGAGTACTATTTCGTGAGCTTGTCTCATCTAAGCCATTGATCTGATTCTAGATCAGATATGGATCGTAGATCAAAATCAAAGACTTTTGAATTGATCTAGGCCTTTGGAAGGGTTATTGGGAATGCATCTGGACCATCCATCTTACAGCTATCATGTACCTTCCTACACCTGATCAAAAACTCATCTTTTAATCTGGGCCTTCAAATTAAATATTCGAATCGATCTAAGCCATCGAGGATTTCTATAAATACCCCCTTCATTTCCTTCATCTTTACACCAAAATTCAGATTTCCTCTCTTACTCTCCTTCTCCTCCATTAGTATTACTGTTCCGACATTCTTTGAAGTTACTATTCATCCCAGACACTATTCACCTAAATTTACTATTAACTTCCGTACGTAGTATAAGCCGTTTCCTATTCATTCTAGAAGTCACTATTCACAATGTACTATTCACGTCAGATTTCACTATTCATCGTTACTCCGACTGAGGTAATCTATACTGCCTACCTTGTATTTCGATTCCATGTTTCTATTTCCTAAGTGTTACTCTGCCCAATTTAAATTTATCAAATACTCAATTTGTATAATTTCCTAATTGGGTAATTTTCAAGTTATTCCTAAAATATACTCCATATGATTGTGGGAACCGAATTAAATCATAACCCTAGGTCAAATAATTCCTTCCATTTGGGGATTATTTGACCTAATTGGGAATTATTCAACCTAATTGGGAGTTACTCAATTTAATTGGGGATTACCCAATTAAATGGAATGTTACCTAATTAGGTTGAGAATTGATTTGATTCCTACCACAATTCCCAATTAAAGGAGGAGTTACCTAAATAAATTAGGAATTGATTTGATACCTACCACAATTAGGGATTTGATTCACCCTAATAAATCAAATCCCCAATTAATCAAATCAATTCCAAATTGGGAAGAAATAATTCATTTCCATCTACGGAATTATTCCTCTGAAACCCTAGCTCCCGAGACCTCTATAAAAGGATGGCCACACACAAGGATTGAGGTACGTCAGAATTACTACTAAAACTCTACATAAATTTTCCCCTCAAAAACCCTAGCCGCCTCCTCTCTCTCCCTCTTTTACATAGGCTCCGGCTACCCGGTTTACACCATAAACACTGGCCAACACCCCCCCGGGTGTGGTCCTCTTATTTGTTCTATTTTGCAGGGAGAAAGAGGCGGCGAAGAAGAAAGGGGAATCTTTCCAATCAAATATTCTCGTGGGGAAATTTGCTCCCACAAATTGGTGCTTTCATTGAGAGCATGAGATATACTCAAAGCGTGCTCTAAACCTATTTTCCAATCCATCGAAGCCTTCCAAACAACCACGGTTGGAAGCAAGAAGACGAGGGGCAAAACCGCCGCGATGGCTTGATCCGCGACGGCCCAAAGCCATTCCACCCATGATCCCGCGATCGACATGGTGGCACCACCACCTCTCACCACCGCGCCACCTCTCACCACCTCATGGCACCACCACCGAGCATGGAGGAACCTCCCATCAAGGTGGGCTTATTACCACCGCCGACTTAGGAACAATCTTGGAGCAACTTCAAGCGTTCCCTCCGTTGCCTCCACGCTCGACGCACGCTCCCGTGTACACCTCCAGTGAAACCCTAGCCCTTATGCAGTTGGGTTCTACACACTTCTCTCCTCCTGATCCACGAAGTCAAGTAGACCTCAATCTGAGAGTTGACTAGCTAGCTCAGAAAATGGATGACCAAAGCAATTTGATGAGGCAGCTCCTCAACCAAATAAATTTGGCTCAAAACCTTGGCCTTGGACAACTGGGCGAAGAGAGAAAGATGGACGATGGGTACCGAGTAGGTCGAGTAGGAATGAGCAGACAAGGAGAGGGACAACAACGTGATCAGCTTGCCAACATGTCACAAGCATCCGCAAGCCACACTCAGAGCAACGTGCGAGAAAGGCTCAGTCCACGACTTGACATCCGTGCCCACCTGGGCCCGTAGGGAAATGTTCATGAGAGGCTAGGCTCTTGGGGAGGTCAACCTGACGACCATCGCAATATGGATCGTGAAGAAAGGCGCTCTGCTGTCCACTCGCAGAGGAAAATTCGTGAAAGGCTAGGCCCCCAGGGAGGTCAACCTGATAACCCTCACAGTGGGGATCGCGAGGAAAGGCGCTTCGCTGCTCACTCCCGAGGAGTCGATTCTCGTCGACAAGTTATAGAAAATCATTCGCAAGCGCAGTCCACCAACACACCGCCAAGGCAGAGCAGCCGAGAAGGTCAAACCTCGCGAGTCAACGAGGAAGTCAATCAGCGTCACCCAAATCATGAGGGTTGCCAACGTGTCCAACCAGCAATGCGTGCAGAAGACGTTAAGAAGCTTGTGAATGACCAACTTCGAGACTTGAAGACCGGCGGGAACTTTGGAGATGCACTACGCAAGGAGATGGACTAGGCGAACTCTACGCCTTTCACCGTCGAAATTGAGTAGGCTACTCCCCCCGAAGGGATTCTCAACGCCTTCGTTTATACCCTTCAATGGGGACTCCGATCCCGAAAGCCACCTAAAACACTTCAAAAGTGTCATCATCCTCCACAAGGCCGATGACGTGTTGATGTGCAAGGTGTTTGTAATGACCTTGCGAGGAGCAGCCCAAGACTAGTTCCACACCCTACCATCCAGATCAATCGGCAGCTTCAAGGAGCTGGCATATGTCTTCACCAAAGAAGACACGTCTTACCGGACAATCAAGAAGAACCCTGACCACCTGTTCAACCTACGCAAGAAGTCTGACGAATCCCTTCGAGAATACATCAAGAGATTCAAAGCGGAAAAGGCCAACATTGTAGGATGTGACGACCGGACCGCATCCTCTGCTTTCGAGAAAGGCCTTCTAGCTGAACATGACTTATACCGCGAGCTGACTATCGCTCTGGGATGATGATTGAATCACCGCGAAAAAGTCCACAAAGCAGGAATATCAGCCAACTAAGCGGACATGCCAAAGAAGCGACGGGTTTAGCAACAGGAACAAGGACAAGCGCAGGTCTCACCCAAAAGGGGCCGCTACGGCAGGAGAGAACTACACTAAGTTCTCCATCCCCATACACCAAATCTTAGCCCAAGTGAAGGACAAACCTTGGGTAAGAAGGCCGCCACCCTTGAAGGGAGATCCGGACAAGAGGGATACCAGAAAATACTGTGCCTTCCATGGGATGCACAGGCACACTACAAACAACTGCTTTGCTTGGAAAACGCACCTTGAAGAACTCGTGAGAGAAGGTCACTGCACGAAGTTCATTGCGAAGCAGGCCATCTAGCGGATTGAGGATCGCGACACCACCAAGGAGCCACCTCAGAAGGTCATAAAGATTAACACAATCCTAGCCGACTCCGAGGAGTCTAGGCTGACCATCAAAGAAAAGAAGAGGAAGATTAAACAGGCCATTGTGATCTCCCAAATCTCGACCGACCTTCCACCAGCGGAAGACGACCCAGTGATCGACTTCCAGAAGAAAGATTTGATCGGCCTCGACATGCCACATAATGACGCCCTTGTCATCAGCATTCAAATCACTCAGGCCATGGTCGACCGAATCCATGCGGACGAGGGCAGCGCAGCTAATATCCTGCAGCTGGCAGTCATCCAGCAGATGGGCTTGGAAGCAAAGATCAACAAAACAGCCAAATCGCTGACTGGCTTTAATGGTACAACAACAGTTACCGTGGGCACGATAGACCTCGACGTTTACTCCCCACCTATAATCAGCTCGCAAACATTCATGGTCATTAATGAGGTCTCGCCATACAATGGCATTCTAGGCAGACCCTGGATCGGCAAGATCAACGCCATCACCTCTGCCACGCATCAGAAAATCCGCTATCCAATCCCTGGTAGCGGTGTTGGGGAAATCAACAGTGATCAAGCAATGGCGAGAAGATGCTCGACTCAAGGGCTGAAGAAAAGCAAACAAACGCAGTTCCTCCTTGTAAGTCAGGTAGATATGAAGGAAGTCGAACAACCAAATATCGCTCCTTTATAGCAATTAAAGGGTCAGGGCCAAGCCGGGGAAATCTGTCCAGAGGTCTCTCCAGAAGAAGGATGGAAACCCGAAGAGGACGTGGAGCTAATACCATTGGATCCTGACCAACCAGACAGAAAAGCGCGGATCAACTCGCGCCTAAGCCCAGACGAGAAGGTGGAGCTGACCACCTTCCTCCAGAACAACAAGGACATGTTCGCATGGTCACCATCTGAAATGCCCGGCATTGACCTAAAGATCATCTGCCATCGACTTCACTTCAACCCTGCCAGCAAGCTAATGGCGTAGAAGAGACGCAACTTCGCTCCCGAGCGGGTTGCGATCATTGAAGCCGAGATTGACAAACTCCTAGCTGCCGGCTTCATCAAAGAGGTCTCCTACTCAGAGTGGCTGGCCAACGTTGTTTTGGTGGCAAAGCAAGAAAAGGGCAAGTGGAGAGTTTGCGTCGATTACACCGACCTCAACAAGGCATGGCCTAAAGACAACTTCCCATTACCAAGAATCGACCAACTTGTGGATTCAATTTCCGGCAATCAACTGCTCAGCTTCATGGACGCCTACTCCGGCTATAATCAAATCATGATGCACGAGGATGACAAGGCGAAAACTTCTTTCATCATCGAGAGAGGGACCTACTGCTACAAGGTCATGCCCTTTGGGGTAAAAAACGTTGGAGCAACCTATCAAGGGCTCGTAAATAAAATCTTCAAGGAGCAGATTGGCAGAACTATGGAAGTCTACGTGGACGACATGCTAGTCAAGCCCCCAAAAGTGCAGATCACATCGAAAACCTCGCCGAGGCATTCAGTCTGCTACACCTGTATCGCATGAAGTTGAATCCAAGTAAATGCACGTTTGGTGTATCGTCCGGCCAATTCCTGGGATACCTAGTCACACAACAAGGTATCGAGGCACACCCGCGCCAAATCAAAACTATTCTCGAGATGAAGTCGCCTTCCACAGTGAAGGAAATACAAAGTTTGACAGACAGAGCAGCAGCCCTCAATCGATTCCTCTCGAGATCTACCGACAAGTGCAGGCCATTTTTCAAAGCTTTGAAAAAAGGACAAAGAGACAAGTGGGATGAGGAGTGCGAAGTAGCTTTTCAAAATCTGAAGACTTACCTCACTTCACCTCCCCTGCTCTCAAAGCCAGTTCCAGGCGAGGACTTCTTCTCGGCCGTTAGCTCAGCTCTCATTCGAGAAGAACTCGAGGCCCAACATCCGGTATTCTACACGTCAAAAGCTTTCCTCGATGTAGAGACTCACTCCTCGAAATTGGAAAAGCTTATTTTGGCCCTTATAGTTTCCGCGAGAAAGTTGCGACCCTACTACCAAGCTCACCGAGTCATCGTCATGCCCGACTTTCCTTTGAGGTCAATACTTCACAGCCCTGACACTTCTCAGCGACTCATGAAGTGGGCTATAGAGCTAAGCCAGTATGACCTCCTCTACCGGCCAAAAACTGCAATAAAAGCCCAGACTTTAGCAGACTTCGTGGCAAAATTCGCCTCATCAGCCGAAGAAGAGAAGCTGGTTAATAATAAGAAGGAAAAGTCAAAAGCAGACGACACCTCCGCTGAACCTGGCAAACCATAGACATGTGGCAGTTGCGCGTAGACGGCGAGTCGAACCAAAAAGGAGCGGGAGCAGGGGTTGTCATCATCACCCCGGATGGAACCCTGTTGGAGCAAGCCATCAAGCTTGGTTTCCCGGCCTCGAACAACGAGGCAGAATATGAGGCATAGCTCGTTGGCATGCGCTTGGCAAAGGAGCTAGTGATCAAGAAGCTAGCCGTCTACTCAGATTCCCAGTTGATCATGAATCAAGCCTCAGGTGAATACATGGCGAAGCACCCAAGGATGATCTTGTACCTTAACAAAGTCCAAGAGCTATTAAAGGCGTTTCCTACCTTCACCATCCAACAAGTGCCTCGAGCAGAGAACGCGCATGCAGATGCCCTGGCAAGCCTAGGATCAGCGCTGGATACCCAATTCAGACCCTCGACCAAGCATTGAAGAAATAAAGCCAATCAACACAATGCAGATTGACGAGGACCACAGCTGGCAAGACCCCATCATTGACTACCTGATGAATGAAATCTACCAACGGACAAGTCCGAAGCCAGAAAAATTCACGACGACTAGTGCGGCAACCACTCCGGGGGCAGATCACTCGTCCAGAAGGCTCTAAACATAGTTTACTTCTGGCCTACCATGCGCCACAACTCCACCGAATATGTCATCTGGGGAAACATCATCTGCCGGTTCGGCTGCCCACAATCACTGGTAACCGACAATGGCTTACAATTCATCGACAAGCACATCACCGCCTTCTTTGCAAAATACAAAATCAAACAACACATCTCCACCCCTAGGTTTCCACAAGGAAATGGACAAGCCGAGGCATCCAACAAAGTCATATTGGATTGCTTGAAGAAAAGGCTAGAAGGCGCTGAAGGGAAATGGGTGGATGAACTCCCCTGAGTACTATGGGCTTATCGCACTACCAAACGAAGATCGACTAGCAAAATGCCATTTTCCCTCGCCTATGGGATGGAAGAGATCATCCCTTCCCACATCACTGTCCCCTCCATAAGCCTTGAGGTGGGCAGTGTTGATCAGAACTCCGAGCAGATGGGCTCAACCTCGACTTATTTGAGGGCAAACGAGAGAAGACTATTGTCTGAGTCGTCTCCTATCAACAGCAGTTGAAGTCTTACTACGACAAAAGAGCCAAGGTCAGACAGTTTCAACCAGGCGATCTCGTGCTAAGAAAGGCTTTCATCACTGCACCGAGGCAAGAGTAAAAAAAGATGAATCCTCACTGGGAGGGCCCTTATGTAATCAGCCGGTCCGAGGGCAGAGGGAGCTACACACTGGACACCATGGAAGGGAAGGAAATTCCACGACAATGGAATGCTTACCATCACTGAAAGTATTATCCATGACGCTTCCTCCTCAGTCCCAAGCAGATGACTGAGCCCTGCACATCTTTGAAGAAGAGAAGCAACTACTAGAAGCTTCTGGCTTTTGTATCAAGTTATTTTCATTCTCGAATAAAGCACTGTAACCTTATAAATATCAATATAAGTTCAGTTTCTCATTCCAGAATGTCTTATCTGCCTACTCATTCCAGAATGTCTCAATATAAGTTACCCATAAGCAGCGTCCTTCAGGAGATGCAGGCGACGACGAGAAGCATCCTCCGGGAGATGCAGCCCGCAAAGAAGCGTCCTCAGTGAGAAGCAAGGTGCGCTAGGAATTTCCTAAGGGAGGTAGCCAGGTTCCTATCTATTTCCTAAGGGAGGCAGGATAGTCACATAGTTGCCCATAAGCAGCGTCCTTCGGGAGACGCAAGGTGACGACCATAAGCGTCCTTCGGGAGACACAGTCCGTAAAGAAGCATCCTCAAGGAGACGCAAGGTGCGCCAAGAATTTCCTAAGGGAGGTATCCAGGTTCCTATCCGTTTCCTAAGGGAGGCAAGATGGTCACATAGTTGCCCATAAGGAGCGTCCTAAGGGAGACGCAGGGCAGCAACCAGAAGCGTCCTCTGGAGACGCAGGGTGCGCCAGGAATTTCCTAAGGGAAGTATCCAGGTCCTTATCTGTTTCCTAAGGGAGGCAGGATAGTCATACAGTTTCCCATAAGTAGCGTCCTTCGAGAGACGCAGGGCAACGACCAAAACATCCTACTGGATATGCAGAACACGCCCGGAGTCCCTCAAGGGGGACCCTGGCACCCATAAATCTCCAAAGGGGGATGCACAATCAAAATACAGGCTAGTTACTCAAGCGGTTCACAAGTCAATATGCAAATTGAAGTTAAAAATAATAATAATAATAATACTAACTGAAATTTTCATAACAAGCTGACCAACCGGTCAAGTTCTACAAAAGGAAGATGGTCGAATAAGACCAATTATTTTAAACAAGATAGCAGACTACAAAAACTGAAAAGAAATAAAGAAGTCTTCATCTACTCTGAGATGCCGACAGGAGGCCCTTGATCTACAGCCTCTTCTGCATCCACCTGATCAGCCATGCCTTCAGCAACTCCACCTACCTGCTCTGCGACATCTGCCATCATCTCATCCACTACGTCCTCCTCAGCCCCATCCGCTCCAACTACCTGCTCTTCAGTTCCTCCTTGCACATGGAACAAGTCAGGGCAGAGTGTCTCGATGTCTACATCTTCAATTGCATAAAGGGGAGCAGCCCCATCCGCACAGTGTAGGTAACCCAACTTGTACGCATCTATGGTGGCTTCAGACTTGGATTTTTTAGCAGACTTGTGGTGAGCACGAAACCTAGCCAGGAGCGTGTTATAGCTAAGGGAGATGTCAGCATTCTTGCGCTCAAGACGGAAGAAGTCATCCTTTCGACTAGCCAAATCAGCAGCAGAAGAGCTGAGCTCGGAATCCTTCTCAGCAAGGGAGCTTTTCAGCTCCGATATCATCGCCCTCAAATCAGACATCTTCTTCTCATAACGGGCCTGCTCGGCAAAAAGCTTACTGGCCAGTAAAACATTCTTCTTCTCCAGCTCGCCGAGCTGAGCAGAAGAGGGGGCAATAGCAAATGAGTTTCGGATAGTCTCTGCAGCAAAAACCAGTCCTTTTGGAATCAGATGAAATGCTTCTTCCCTTTGTCTTTCCAAGGAAAGACTCGAAAATGTGCCAAGATCACCGGCCTGACGGATGTGATCAACCAACTCAGCACAGGAGCACGGGTTTGATAAGAAGTTCGTCTTGAGCAGATCAGACACGCATGCATCCCCTACAGGGCTAGACTTGTTCACCTTGGGATCAATCGCCGACGCTGAACGTGGTTAACCAATTCAGCACAAGTGGACGGGCTTGACAGAAAGTTCATCTTGAGTAGATCAGACACACATGCAACTCCTGTGGGGTTGGGCTTGTCAACCTTGGGACCAACAGCTGACGTTGCAGAAGAACTCTTTGCCCGGGCAGACGACTCTCTCATCTTCTTAGCCTCCGCCAACCTCGCCTGCAAAGGAGTCAATGATGTAGAATCAATAACGCGCTTGACTGCCCGTGTCTCAACAACTGGATCATGAGCAAACCTCCCGCTTCTATCCCCATCCTTTGACTGATGTAGACGACTCGAACTTCGAAGAGGGATATATGCATCTCTTTGACGCTCAGAAAAATGGGAACGGGCACAAACTACCTGACAAAGCAGATCATGATTTTCAAGCTTGTCAACAGAAGGCTCAGGCCGAACACCGCGCATACCACCAACCTTCCTGCTATCTGCACCCACAAGATGTTTGACCCTGGCAGATGACAATGGAACAGACCCCGCTTGAGTTTTCTCAATAGAAGGGAGCCTTGGCTTCTTCCTCAATGGAGACGCATCCTTCACCCGCGAAGAAGTAGCATCATGTCTTGAGGACTTGGCAACAACCTTTCGCTTTGAAAGGGATTTGGCAAAGCACTCTTCTTTTCCGACAAGCAGATCATCAGGGTCAGGACCGTTCTCTTTCCATCTCTCGACATCCTCGGCAGGGGCAGTCCACCGTCTTCCTCCCAGTACTCGCTCAATAGCCAACACCACTCACGAAACTTTCTTAGCCATGTCAGGTCCAAGCTTCAATTGCTTGCTGATGTTACTCGCTACAAGCAAAAGACAGAAGTTAGTCAGCCACACTTCAAGAAATTCAAGTAAAAGAGAGCAGATCAAGAACCACAAAAAGACATACCGTTGCAATAGGTGATGGGAACAAGTGGGCCGTCCGCTGACTTCCAACACATCATCGTGCCACGCATGATCTCCTTGACTAAGACTATCAAACAACTTGGCCTTGTAGATG